CCGCTGCCGTTGCGGCCCCTGCTTGGCCCGCCCGCCCTCAGGCGCTTGCCGGCTCCTCGAGTCGTGCTTGAACTCATCTTGACCGCCACCGTGCTGAGGTCGCGCCACGCGCCTTCCCCTCTGACCGCGCCCCATCTTTCCTGAATCCGCCGCGCCCCGGCAGAGGCGGAGCGCAGCCTGCCGCACGTGAACCAGCGCGTGACCGCGCTGCTGGGCAGGCTGGGCCTGGAGGGCGAGGCCCTGACCCTGCGCATGACGGGCTGCCCTAACGGCTGCGCGCGGCCCTACATGGCGGAGATCGGCTTCGTCGGCGACGGGCCCAACTCGTACCAGGTGCGCGGCTGGTGGGAGGTGGTTGGTTGGCACCGTACGCATTTTTTGTTGGGGCTGGGGGTTGGCGCGCGTTTCGCTGGCACAGGCATGTGGGCCCCGGCGCGCCCGCGGTCGCCCTGCCCTGGCTTGCTGCGGCTGATCGTAACGTTGATGTGGGCTCGAGAAAGCGACAACGCCAGGCTCAGTTTCGACCCCTGATTTGCTTGAAACACACCCATATGTACACGTGTGCACACACTCCCACAGTCCCGCACACAGCACTTCCCTCACACAACATGCACACCAACGCCCACCCGCCCTCCCGCCAGGTCTGGCTGGGCGGCAGCTCCAACCAGACGCGGCTCGCCGAGGTCTTCGCGGAGCGCGTCAAGCTGGCCAACCTCGAGGCCTTCCTGGAGCCGCTCTTCGCCTACTGGCGCGCCTCGCGCCGCCCGGGCGAGGGCTTCGGCGACTTCAGCGCGCGCGTCGGATTTGCGGCGCTGCGGGAGTACTCGGCCGCCTACGTGACCACCAGCGCAGCCGACGCGCTGCCCAAGGTGGGGCCCGGGGCCGACGCAGCGCGGGTTTTCAGTCTGCCGGCGGCGACCCTGTTTACGCTCTTAGAGGCTCCGGCGGCTCCTTGATCTAGGGCACCCATGCCTCGGGCCTGCACACTCGGGAGGGGTGCACCCTGACACGCCCAACGCCCTCTTTGATCTAACCGGTTGTTCCCAACCACCCTCACCAACCACCGCTGCCAGGTGGCGCTGCCCAGCGACACCTACGAGGCACTGGCGGCGCTGGCGGCGCGCGAGGGCAAGTCCATCGCGCACGTTGCAAACGAGCAGCTGCAGCAGCTCTCGGGGGCGGCCAACTAGGCGCCGGCCCGCCAACCTAAGGCTTGAGGCTGCTCACAGGTGCGTGGGGCCGCCCCTGCAATGGCGCAGCCCCCGGGCTTTTCGCGGCGCCCTGGGCCATGACTGCTGCCAGGAGCTGGCAAGGGCAGGCGCGGCCGCTCCTGGGTTTGCAGTTGCATCTGCGGCGCATGCTGGTTGACGCCACACTGCGCTTGCCGTGTGGCGGCGTTCGCCTCGTCGGCACATTGCATCACCCCATCGTTGATTGGTCAAACACCATGTTGTGGCACGGCCCCACTTTTGGGGCGCGGTGTGTTGCAGTAGAGTCGAGCGCCCGTCCCGTTTGCTGCGCGGGCGTGCATGGCAGGCAGGCGTCGCACTGAGGCGCTTTGCCCAGTGAAAGGCTGCATGCGCTCGAACACCTTGGCGGCCCATACCGGCCCGGGCAGCAGGGGCACCTTCGCGCCAGCAAACCGCACGTGCGCGGTGCGCGGCTTCGCGGGTTCTGGATTGTATAGCAGTTTTTAAGCGGTCCTCAACTCAATTATCTGTGCGCTGCATGACCTGTGGTGTGTAATATCTGCATGGTCTCAAACTAATCATCAAGGTTGCCCCACTCTCTCGCATGAGTCATCACCAAAGAGCGTCGTCCAGCTTGACCCACTCCACAAATGGCGACCCCATTGGTCTTGCGTTGCATCCTCACATGCGTGCGCGCTCCATCCAGTCAGAATTCCATCACAGCAAGAGCATTTTTTGCTAATTTGAGAGAGGGCGCATGGGGGGTCCCCTGAGAGGTGGAGCATGAGGTGTGGCGGCACAAGCTGTTTCAGGAGTACGTGGCAGCAGCTGCCTTAGATATGCAGGTTCATGCAGGCATACCTCATAACAACGGTCTGTGACGGCTTATGTTTGTGCCGTGCTACACAGTCCCGCATCTATCAACCCGAAGCAGGCGAGGTTTGCGGCACGTGAGGGCCTGACGACTAGTGCACAGCCCCATGCGGCGACCACGGCGGTACAAACCTGCAAGAGCTCGTGTTCCTCGCTTGTAGTGCGTCGAACACTTGCGCCAAGTTTGCATAACCAAAAATCACATTGCTCCAGCACCCAGCCAGCTTGCACGTGCGCGAGCTTTGCATTTGCGCGGGTTCCACCTTCGCGTCACGTTCTGGATGGTGAGTGTTTCATTTGACTGAGACAAGCTCATACGCACATCGCAATTGCAATTGCAGCCCAGCGCTAGGCTGTCTCCGATGCAGCTGCTACGATCGCTTTCACAGCACGCCGGGCCGACCCGCAGCAGGCAATGGGTGCAGCAACGCGCTCATGCCGCCGCCGCGCAGGGTGCGCCTCCAACCAAGCTCAAATTCCGGCAGCTTTTTGACTCAGGTGTGCAGATTCTCTACACATGGGCACCTGCCCAATGAGGGCATGCGGACCGATTGCAGGGCATGGCGCGCACAACCGACGGATCGAGCGGCCCGCTGGTGCTGTGTGCGCCACTGCGCATGCGCCACATGGCCGTCAGATACAACAACTCTGGCCGCTTACCCACCTCATGTGCCGTCGCAGAGTCTTCCACGTACACATGTGAGAGATTGGATTGGGAGCTTGAGGCTTGGGAAAGACGGGGGGCGAAACGGCAGCTTTAGGGCGGCTGCTGCTCGTCTGGGGCATCCATCGGCAAGCGCGAGACGCTTGTGGTCATGCCCGAGCCCACGCCTCTCCGGCGGACCCGGCAGCGGTTACGGCCGTTTCAAGGCTGCAGGCTGTTGGTTGGGGAGCCGGGAGCAGCCGGCTGGGCGCGCTAGTTGAAGCCCAGGGCCACTCTTGCGAACATCCAGTCCCGGGCGTTTCCAGCCGTCCGTCCGCAACGTCGACATGGCTGCCACCCGACCCAACCACCATCACCGCCGCCGTGCAGACATCGTGGCAGATGGCGAGACGCGAGAGGCGGCCTTGATCGACTCAGTCATCGGCAAGGCGAGCACCTGGCCCGTGCACCACATGCTTGCGACATCCACAGCAGCAGCAGCTTCAGCAGCAGGGACAACAGCAGCAGCAGAAGCAGAAGCAGAAGCAGCAGCAGGATGCCCCTGGTTGCCCCCCGCATTCAATTCAAGCCAGCGTGTAGCCCAGGTGATCAACTTCAATGATCATGTGAGTCACTGATGCCCCCAACCTGCCCGCCCTTGTTAAACCTGACCACACCAGGTGGACCGTGATCTACAGATCATCAAGGAGATGGGACTGGACTTGGTGCTTGAACTCAACACGCACGCGCACGCTGATCACATCACAGGTGTCGACATCCTTTGTACCAGTGACCGTGCTCCTCCTTGAGCCCAATGAGCAGCGCGACGCCCGACGCACTGGCCGCCCTGCAGTGACGGCAGCATTTTTCGCGGCGGCTGATGCGTGCCTGCGCAGCACCATCTTCCTGGGTACCACTGCGTGGCTCAATCAGCCCGCCCTCCCAGGCAAAGCACACAACCACCGCTCGAACAGGAAGCCTGAGTCTTACATGGAGCCATCTGGAGTCAGAGCGAATTGGCTAATGGACTGAACATAATGTCAACAGGACGATAGCAGACGCTTTCTCTGACCTTGAAATTTCACAAACCTACAGGCACCGCCAAGATCAAGGAGCGGCTGCCGAGCGTGAGGAGCGGCATCAGCGAGGCCAGCGGGGTGGAGTGCGCGGACCTGCGGCTGAAGGACGGAGATGTGCTGGAGGTCGGGGCCCTGCGGCTGGAGGTGCGACTGGAGGCAGAGCGGGCGCTTTACTGACCGCGCCGCTGGCCCGGCCTTTGTTTTTTTATGGATCTGGCTGCTTAGGGGTGCTAAGCTTGCAGTGTGGCTCGCCTGATCGGGCCGCCACCCTGCTGCACCGCGTGTTGCATGAAACACCACTGCATGCAACCGACGCCGCCGCCCGCCACCGATCCTGCGAGCAGGTCATCGCGACCCCGGGGCACACCTCTGGCTGCGTGAGCTACCACCTGGCCAGCCACGGGCTGGTCTTCACGGGAGATGCCCTGCTCATCCGCGGCTGCGGGCGCACAGACTTCCAGCAAGGTGGGCGCCGGCTCGCCCGCCTTCTTTTCTGGGGCTGCCGGCGGCTCGCGCAGGGGGAGGGTATGGGACTGCACGACCTGCTGGTGACCTGGCGCGTGGAGACTGTCGAAGTGACTCTGGTTTTATCGGGTGTTGGGGGTGGCTCCCAGCCGTCTGCACTAGTTCCGAGCTCCCAGCCAGCCTGCAAATGCAGGCTGTACCTCGCGGCTTGCTTCCCCTGATGTTTTGTGTGCTGTTTCTCAAGATAGCGATTGTCCACCCTCTCATTCCCAGGGGACTCGCGGCAGCTGTATGCCAGCGTCCACGAGCGCCTGTTCACGCTCCCCGACAACACCGTGGTCTACCCCGCCCACGACTACCAGGTGGGTGCGCCACGGCTCAGTGTGTGCGTGTGTGTGTGTATGTGTGTGTGTGTGTCTGCGCATGTGTGTCTGCACTGCATATGTGTGTCTGCGTGTGTGTGTGTATTTGTGTGGGAGCTTGACGTGCAGCAACTCAAGCTGAGGGGCCCAGGCTCCTCCTCCCGAGTTGTGGACTTGCCGAAGTTGAGATTTCCTGTTGACGTCCACACCGGTCTGGACAAACTTGAAGCCAAGGTTCAGGGGCCAACAGAGTGCTATTTTGTTGCAACTTCACTGCCGTTTCAAGGCCAGAAAACAGCTTGTTCTGGTGCTGCCATTGCTGGGTTGCCTCCACCGAGTTGGGCCGTCCTGCTCAGCAGACAGCCGCCCCCCTCCTTCTACAGGGCCGCACTGCCAGCACTATCGGAGAGGAGAAGGCCTTCAACCCGCGCCTTACTAAGGGACTGGTGAGGGGACAGCGCCACCCAGGCTGGCAGGGTTGCACAAGGCTGCATGAGAGAATTCAGCATGCAGGAGCTGGCACAGCAAAACGGCCACGCACAAGCCTTGCAATTCCCCTTGCCTGCCTGATGCAAGCCGCGCGACACAGTCAGTGAGCCTGGTCGTCAACAGCCTGATCGTGCCAACATATTACACAAAAGCGTTCCATCCTGCCCTAACCCTGAACCCCGTGCTGCCGCCTATGCCGGCCGCAGGACGAGTTCGTGGGGATCATGGCGGCCCTCAACCTGCCCTACCCAAAAGCCATCGACCGCGCGCTGCCCGCAAACATCAACTGCGGCGGCGACCCCCTGCCGGCCGCGGCGCAGGTGTGACGCTGCGCGAGGCGGCGGCGGCCCAGGCGGCCGCGGGGCCGCTGCCGCGGCCGCAGGTTGCTGATCGGGCGGCGCTTGTACACATCTGACACCTCTCGCCGCCCCTCCTGTGAGGGGCGCATGTACCCGTGATACTGTTTCAACGGCGCGCCGCCGCCAGCTGCTGCTCTCATTGTCCTTCTCTCATGTCTGCGCTTACTGCACCTCGAACGGGTGTAAGTCAGACATGCAGCAGAGGCATGCGGACGATCGAGTCTGTTAGCCCGCAGCGTGCTGGCCGGCAGCGGCGACCAGCGGCGCCTGCCACCGCGCGAGCAGCGGCTGCGCCGACAGCAGCAGCCACGGCTGCCCGCACCACGCCAGGTTGATCATGAGGCACGTGGAATCTTGCCAGAGCCCCGTGTCGTGGGCGGCCCTGGCCCACGGCCGTGGGCCTGCCTCATCTGCCGCGCGCAGCACGTCCAGTGCGCCGCGCATATCGCAGGAGACTGCAAGCCTGAGGGCCTCGTTCGTCGCGCCGCGCACGGTTTGGACGTTGCAGGTGTGCCGTATCGCCCAGAGTATGCTGCGGGATGGAGGCGGCGCGTGGAGGCTGGCCGTTAATCAATTGCAAAGCGGGGCGGCAGGGGCTTGGTGGTTCCTGCTGAGGTGTGAGTGCGGTGCAGCAGATTGTGTCATGACACACAACTCCTTTGAGCAGGGTTGTGTAAGATGGCCTTGACCCGGTTTCTCAACCACTGCATGCCGTGCAACATTGCCTATGGTGCTCTCAGCTCAGCCCCGGCCTCGCGCACCTGGTGTGGTGCAGCAGCCCCCTCTTGCCGGCCACATTGTTATACCTCGGCCCATTATTGTCACGCAGCACAGGCCACCCCGTGTGCAGTAAACCTGCAGGCTCCGTGCAGCCCGGCCAGCACCCGAGGGCCCTGGCCGCTGCCTTGGCCACGCCCTGCCGCGTCAACTGACCCGTCAGCTCGTCCGCATTGCCCACGCGCCCCGCACGTAGCAGGTCTTCCAGCAGCCGGCCTGCCGTGCGCGCCGGCGATGCCGCCGGGCTCGCCAGGGCAGCGGACATCTCGCTCCGCGCGCGCTTGCCGCGGGCGTCGAGCGGCTTGGGAGTTGCGCCGAGTGCCCACAGCCACTCTGTGATGCTCGCGGTTGTGCCGGGGTGGCCGTTGTTGGGCAAGGAAACCTGCTCTGCCATCAAGCACCCGTACAGCCCCAGCTGCGCCTCGGCTGCCAGCACAGCCGCCGCCACGTCCCCGCACCTCTGAACAACCGCCACGCGCCCGGCGGCGCACAGGGCGGCCTTCCAGTGCTTAGCAGCGGCCTCGTTTCCGCTGGGCGCGGAGGCGCCCTGCGTGCGCCGCGCCGCCGGCTGGTCCTGCAACACCCTGAGGAGCGCGTGCAGCATCGGCAGTGCCGCTGCGGCCACCGCCGGCGCCTCTGTTTGCAGTGCCGCGAGCTCCCTTGCCGCCGCAGCCGCCGTGGCCGGCAGCGCATAGCGCCACGCACGTGCGACGTGCCGTAAAAGGGCCTCGAGGCACTCTCGAGGGGCACCCGCAGCGACCATCGCCGCCGCGACCTCGGGCGCAGACCCGGGGCTGGCAGTCCACGGGAGGCAAGCAAAGGCGTCGTCCCAGAGGCACATGCTTTCGATTGTGCCGGCGGCTCCATCGCCGCGCGGATGCAGGCCGTCGGTGAGCCGTTTCGCGTCCATCTGCAGCAGCAAGCTGAGCAGGTGCGCGCCCGCGTCGGGGCGCACGCAGAGCGCAGCCACGTCGCGGGGCTGCATCTCTGTAGCCCACACGCGCATGCGGAGTGTGGCCCCCGCGCCGAGGCCGCTCCTGCGGGCGCTGCACCAGTCAAAGAAGCGGCGCGCGACGTCCAGCGCCGCGCTCTGCAGCACGGCGTGGAATATGGCCCGTACTGGAGGCAATCCAGCTGGTTGCGGGTTGATTGTGGGGTACAGAGCCTCTAGCGGGCCAAAGTGGCCCTCGACTGCCGCGGCCCGGGCTGAACAGCGCATCAAGTTCCTCATGTCAGCGCCGGCCGCGCCTGCCCAGGCCATGAGCTGCTCACAGGCGACCGCATGGCCGCGACGGGCCGCAGCAACCGCGCATGCGCTGAGAAGGGCGCATTCCGCGCGGCGGGGCGGGCCGCGGCGTGGGGGGCTGTGGCTAAAATTGTAATGTGCGAGGCCGAGCAGCAGCTCGGGGTCAGCGCCACGCGGCGCTTGCGCGTGCTGGGCTGCGAGCGCCCGCGCAAGCGCCGCGCGTCCGCCGGTGGCGGCAAAGACGGCGAGCAGTGGGGTGCGGCCGCCGAGGCAGGGGAGCGCTGCGCTGGCGAAGGGGCCGGCGAGGGCGTCGATTGGGCTTGCTTTGCTGCTGGCGCCCTCAGCAACTGCAGTGACGAGGGAAGGCGGCGCGCCCGCCGCTGCCAGCGCAGCCTGCAGGGCTTGCAGCAGCTGCGCGTCGTCAAAAGTGGCGAAGCGCCGCCAGCAGAGTGCCTCGCATGCGACCAGGGCGCAGGTCGGCTGGGCTGCGCCGTCGTCCTTGCCAGAAGCGGGTGCGGGCGCAGCGTCTGCGCTGCTGCCGCTGCACAAATTGGCCAGATCCTGAGCAAGCTGTCCCACGCATATGCTGACCGTGGGCTCTCCCGACGCGAACCTGTGACCTAGGAAGCGTCCGACAGCCTCGGGATCGCTGCTGATCCGCTGAACGGCAACCGAGAGCCGCTTGCTGGTCAGGGCAAAGTTCAACAAGTCGGTTCCGCCAAATATGTGCAGGATGTGCTGCGCGATCAGGCCAACCATATCAATTGGCAGGTCTGGCATTCGTGCCTTGTGGACTACGGTAGAGGAAGCCATTTCGTCAGGACACGCAATCAGATTATTGCGTGGAGATGCAGGGTAATAGGGGCTGATGTCCGTACCGCGCGCGAACTTTGGCATGACACAAGTGTGTAGGGTGGGCTTCTTGATCAGACCCTGGGGCATTGTGGCAGCATGTGTGCGTTGGCAGTTGTCATGACGTGTGCGACCGGCTGTTTGATAACCTAATCGCAATATTGACTGACCTGTCCAAGTGTGTCAGGTACTTCTTTCGCCATGCAATGCTGCACGTCATCAGCGTCCCGCACGGATCGCTTTTAGCTGTGTATGTACCCACCTACCTTCCCCCATCTGTCCGCAACCCCCCAGCGCCGACCGAGCCGCGGCGATCACTCCAACCCTGCCCATCCCCTGCCTTGCGCACATTTATTGCGTCAAATGTTTTTCTGCGTGGAAAATGTATTGATGTCCTGTGGCCTGCACCCAACTGTTCGGCAGCCGTATGCCAGCGTCCATGAGCGGCTGTTCACACTCCCCAACGACACCGTGGTCTTCCCCGCCCAAGACTTCCAGGTGGGTGCGCCGAGATGTGTGCATGCATGTGTGTGTATGCGCCTGCGTGTGTATTGCTGTTTCTCTGTGTGTGTGTGTGTGTGTGTGTGTGTGTGTGTGTGTGTGTGTGTGTGTGTGTGTGTGTGTGTGTGTGTGTGTGTGTAGTCCTGTATGTGTTTCTGTGGATGGGCTTTTTGTGCACGTGTATTTCAGTGGGTGCCCGACACACAACAAGTGAAGCCGTGGGGCCGAGGCTCCTCCTCCCAAGTTGCGGTCTTGCCGTGGTTCACAGTTCCTCAAAGAAGTTCACACGGGCATCAACACGAAGCAAAGGCCCAGGGACCACCGGAGTGCTAGCTGCTATCTAGAGCATCCAGCACAAGTTGATCGGGTGCCCTGGCTGCCATTGCTGGGCTGCCTTCAACATATTGGGCCCTCGCTCCTACTCAGCAGACAGCCGCTCCCCTCCCATCTATGTAGTACCGTACAGCCAGCACTATTGGCGAGGATAAGGCCTTCAACCCGCGCCTCACTAAGGGCTTGGTGAGGGGAAAGCGCTGCCCAGGCTGGCAGGGTTACACAAGGCTGCATGGGAAACAACAGAACGTGCAGGAGGTGGCACAGCAAAACAGCCACTGGCCCGGCTGTTCCCCTTGCCTGCCAAATGCAAGTCGCGCGACATAATCAGGCAGCCTGGCCGTGCCGCAATCGTGCCGACATGTCACATAAATTCGTCCTCCATCCTGCCCCAACCCCAAACCCTCTGCTGCCGCCCATACTGTCCGCAGGACGAGTTCGTGGGCATCATGGCGGCCCTCAACCTGCCCTACCCAAAAGCCATCGACCGCGCGCTGCCGGCAAACATTAACTGCGGCGGCGACCCCCTGCCGGCCGCGGCGCAGGTGAGACCCGCGCAGGGGTGGCGGCCCAAATAACCACGGGGCCGCTGCTGCTGGCGCAGATTGCTGGTGGGGCGGCGCTTGTACACATCAGACGCATCTTGCCACCCCTCTTGTGAGGGGCCCGCATGTATCCGGTATTGTTTCAACGGCGCACTTGCTGCAATCGGCGCTGCTGCTTTTGGTTTTATTTGCTTTTATCTGCGCTCGCTGTACCTCGTACGGGTGTAAGTCGGACGTAAAGCAGAGGCGAGCCAGCAATTGCGTGCTCAGTCATCGGTGTCCTCACCCGCGGCGGCGTTCAGCGGCGCCTGCCACCGTGCGAGCAGCGGCTGCGCCGACAGCAGCAGCCACGGCTGACCGCACCACGCCAGGTTGGTCACGAGGCGGGTGGAATCCTCCCACAGCGCCGTGTCGTCATCGTCCCACGGCTCTTGGCCTGCCGCATCCGCCGCCCGCAGCACGTCCACTGCACCGCGCGCGTCGCAGGAGTGCGCGAGCCTGATGGCCTCGTTCAGCGCGCCGCCCACGACGCGAAAACCGCCGTTGTGCCGGATCGCCCAAAGGATGCTGCCGCATGGGGGTGGCGCGTGGAGGATGGCGGTTCGTTGTTCAAAGAAAGACGGGGCGTCAGGGGCTTCTGGGTCTCTGCTGAGGTGTCTAGGCGGTGCAGCAGCACTTGTCGACATATACCCCGTTGAGCAGGGTTTCGCACAATCTCCTGTAGCCTTTTACTCAACCCTTGCAAGCAGTACACAGACGCGAGTGATGGCCAGCCCAGCCCCGGCTTGCCTGTTCTGGTGCAGCAGCCCCCTCTTGCCCCACACGCTGTCGTAGCTTGCACCGTCTTCGCCGCGCGGCGCCACGTGGCCCGTGAACAGGACACCCCCGGGCTCCAGGCAGCCCGGCCAAAGCCCAAGGGCCCTGGCCGCCGCCGCGGCCACGGTCCGCGGCGCCAGCCGACCAGCCAGCTCATCTGCCTCGCCCACGCACCCCGCGCGCAGCAGGTCTTCGAGTCGCCGGCCCCCCTTGCGCGGCGGCGGCGCCGGCGGGCGCGCCAGGGCAGCGCACATCACGCCCCGCTCGCGGTTGCCGCGGGCGTCGCGCGGCTTGGCGGTCGCGCTGAGTGCCCACAGCCACTCTTTGACACTTGCAGTCACCACGCGGCGGGCCGCGCTGGGCCAGGAGGCGTACTCAGCCGCCAAGCAGCGATAGAGCCCCAGGCGCGCCTCGGCCGCCAGCACCGCCGCCGCCGCGTCCCCGCACCGCCGGGCGACCGCCGTGCGGCCGGCTGCGCGCAGGGCGGTTTCCCACTTCTGGTCGGTTGCCTCGTCGCCGCCAGGCGCGGCGGCGCCCTGCGCTGCGCCGCGGCGCGCGGGCTGGTTCATCAGCACGTTGAGCAGCACATGCAGCGTCGGCATCGCCGCCATGGCCACCGCCGAAGCCTCGTCTTGCAGAGCCTCTACTTCGCTCGCCGCCGCGGCGACCGTGGCGGGCAGCTCGTCGGGCCACGCCCGTGCGACGTGTTGCAGGAGGGCCCCGAGGCACTCTGGAGGGGCACCAGCGGCGACCATCGCGGCCGCGACCTTGCGTGCAGACTGCGGGGTGGCAGTCCAAGGCAGGGAAGCCAGGACGTCGTCCGAGGGGCCGACGCCTTCGCTCTCGCCAGTGGCTCCGCCGGCGGGGGGACGGAGGCCGTCTTGAAGCCGCTCCGCATCGAGCTGCAGCAGCAGGCTGAGCAAGTGCGTGCCCGCTTCAGGGCGCACGCAGATCGCGGCGACGTCGCGCGGCCGCATCGACACAGCCTGCACACGCATGGGGTGTGGCGCCTCGGCGGCACGGCCGTGCCCGCGCGCGCGGCACCAACTGACAAAGCGGCGTGCCGCGTCCGGCGGCGCGCTCTGCAGAACTGCTCGGAACGCTTCCACTTGCATTTCTGTTGTGGGGCACAGGGCCTCTAGCAGGCCGAAATGGCCCTCAACCGCCGCAGCCCGGGCTGAAAAGCGTGTCAACTGGTCCATGCGAGTGCCACCTGTGGCTGCCCATGCCACAAGCTGCTGGCAAGCGGCCGCATGCCCGCGCCGGGCTGCAGCCGCCGCGCATGCGTTGAGCAGGGCGGGTTCTGGGGAGAGGGGCGCTTCGCGGCGCGGGCCGTCTTCGTGATCAAAGTCGTAGAGTGCTAGGCCGAGCGAAAGCTCGGGGTCGGCGCCCGGCAGTACCCGCGCATGCACAGCCGCAAGCGCCCGCGCGAGCGCCGCGCGCCCGCCGGCGGCGGCAAAGACGGCGAGCAGTGGGGCGCGGCCGCCGAGGCAGGGGGCTGCTGCGCTGGTGAACGCGCCGGCGAGGGCGTCGACTGGGCCCGCCTTGCTGTCTGCGCCGTCAGCAACTGCAGCAAGCAGGGAAGGCGGCGCACCCGCCGCTGCCAGGGCAGCCTGCAGCGCTTGCAGCAGCTGCGCATCGTCGAACGCGGCGAAGCGCCGCCAGCAGAGCGCCTCGCATGCGACCAGGGCGCAGGTCGCCTGGGCTGCGTCGTCGTCGTCGTTGCCAGAAGCGGTTGCGGGCGCATCATTTGCGCTGCTGCCGCTGCACAGATTAGCCAGGTCTTGCGCAAGGTTTCCTATGCATATGCTTGCGGTGAGCTCTCCACACGCGAACCTGTGACCTAGGAAGCGTCCGACAGCCTCGGGATCGCTGCTGATCCGCTGAACGGCAACTGAGAACCGCTTGCTGGTCAGGGCGAAACTCAACAGGTCGATTTTGTCAAAAACTTGCAGGCTGTACTGCGCGATCCGGGCCACCAGATCGATTGGCAGGTCTGGCATTCGTGCCTCGTAAGTTACGGAGGAAGCCATTTTGACAGAAAAATCTGGCTTCTGGTACAGGGTTATGATATGGGGGCCGATGTCCGTGCTGCTTGAACAGTGAAATGACACTTCGTGTTGTCATGGAGGCTGCAAGGGCTTTTTGACCCTGGGTCAACGTGGAATGCGTTGACAGTTTTCATGATCTATGCAGCTGGCTGTTTAATCACCTGTCGCGCAACATTCACTGATTAGTGTGTGTGAGAGACCGCTTGCGCCAGGCAATGCTGCACGTCATCAGTGCCCCGCACGCGAGTCGCCTTACCCAATTACCTCCATTCCCCCACCTGTTCGCAACCCCCTGGCGCCGACCGAGCCTCGCCGATCCCTCCATCCCTGCCCATCCCCCTCCCTTGCGCACATTTACTGCGGCAAATCTGTTCTGCCTGAAAATCTTGCTCTGCTGAGGACCGGTGGGACGACAAGGTGGGCACCCCATTTGTGCGCACTACGATGACGTCAGTGTTTGGGGATGACGCAGACTACTGCATCTTCCCCCTGGCGGCCGGGGACCTGGAACAAGCCCGCTCGCCGGCACCATGGCGCGCGCACAAGCGGCACATAGCCCTCCTTCAGCGTCCCCAATGGCGCTGCTTCCGGCGCCACAGCAAGCTGCCAAGCCTGCGGCCGTGCTGGTGACCTGCTGCGCTCAGGGGCAGCGGGCCCCAGAGGACCGGCTGTCGCCCGCAGAATTGCTGCCAGTCGCCGCTGAGACCTGCGTCGCAGTGGCGGCCCTTCACGATGCCGCCACTGTGCACAAGGACTTGAAGCCCGCAAACTTCCTGGTGGCGGCGGACGGCCACCTGTGCGTGGGTGACCTGGGCGTTTCTGACGACGCATCACACCACGCGCTCTCCGGCGCCGGCACATGGTTCTTCCAGGCGCCGGAGCAGCGCTACAGCACGACTCGGCTGGGCAGGATGCTCCACGCCCTGCGCATCGCGCTCGCCGACATGGCAGAGCGGCTTGGCTTCCCCTGCGACAGCCGCCCGGTGGACGTGTGGGCGCTGGCGGTGACATGGCTGACGATTTCGCTGACAGTTGACGAGGTACTGAGGGTGATGAAGACGGCCCACGCTGGGAAGCCTTTGCAGCTCCCCGCCTACGTTCCTGCGGCGCTGGCCGACCTTCTGCAGCGCGGCATGCTTGTGAAGCGCCCGTCGAAGCGCTTCACCATCAGGCAGGTGATGGCGCATCCCTACTTTGCGCGCGTGAGTTGGCGGCAGGCAGAGGCGCGCCGTCTGCTGTTGCTCGACCTGAGGGCGCTGGCAGCCCAGGGCCGCGAGTACATACATGCAGGCAGTTCGACAGACGTGATGCGTGAGGCGGCGTGACCATGGGTTGTATGCGAACGCAGGCCAGGTGCTTGCAGGGGTTACCGTGTTGACCAAGCATTAGTAGGTTGTGATCTGTGCAATTTCAGCACAGCTGAGTAATTTTGAATTCAACAACCACATTCAAATGTCATTCAAATCAACATGCAACGTGGCAAGCACGCACTGCGTTGTCATGGTTGACAGTCTGTATTGTCAGGGGATAACCGCAACGACGTCCAGAGTGATCACAACACACATCAACGCGCATCCCAAATGTCGTCTGTCAAGCCGCTGAGTGCTGCTGCACGCTCCTGATGAACTTGCTGCGCACCCCCTTCACCGCAGCCAGGCCCGGTCACCTGCGCAACAGTCACCTTGAAGCCTTCTCCCCCAAGGCGCACGCCTCACGCACACAGCCCAGACCGCCGGGGACCTGTCTGCCCCTGCTAGGCGCAACCTGATCGGGTCCCCCATCGCCCCCCGCCTTCGCCCACCGAGGGCGCTAGCTCTTGTCCCCCCCTCGTCGTCTGAAAGCAACAGCCATTTGAGATATTAGCAGCAGCTCGCTAGTCAGCCAAAGGTGCATCCGTTACAGCACCCCCGCGCGCACGCGGGCAGCGCCGGCGCGCCATCCCGCTGCCCCATGCCGCCACCTCACGCGTCCCCTGCAATCTCGCGCCCAAACTGCTCCAGGTAGGCCTCCATGAACGCGTGGCGCCCCTCCGCGAGAGCGCGCCCAGACGCCGTCTTCATGCGGCCCTTGAGGGTCAGAAGCTTCTCATGGAAGTGGTTCAGCGTCGCGGCGCCCCCTTTACCCTTGACCGTGCCGCCGCCCCCGCCGCCCTCGTTGGCGGGCGCCTCGGCGGCCGAGTGCTGCTGCATGTACGCCTCCCGCGTGAGAGCCTCGGCCGGCCGCGGCGGCTGTTCTGGGTCGTACAGCGGCCGGCCGAAGCGGCCGCCGAACGTGAAGCAGCGGGCGATGCCAATGGCCCCAATGGCGTCCAACCTGGCGGCAGGTAAGCGCATGCGGCAGCAGGTCGGGTGTTAGAGGCGCAAGGTGTAGTCCAAAGCCGCACTGGAGTGGGACTTCAAAACCAGCTGCGCCGTGGTGCGAGCAGCCCGGTCTAGGTTTGGAATAAGGATCATTGCAGCATCCCGCGATTGTCCGCTGCTGTAGTGATGCAGGCTTATGGGATTAAACGCTGAAGCGTCCATCTTGTGCGAGCGGTCACAGCGGCTTCCTGGTGTCAAGCAAGAGCGTCCGGCGCCCGCTTCACGCGCTCGCTGTAGTGCCCCAGAAACACAAGCACACGCGCACTCACACGCACACGCACACAAACTCCCCAGCACAAGCATGTACCTGTCCGCATCCTGCACGACCCGCGCCTCCAAGCTCAAAGCCACGGCGGGGGCCGCGCCGCTGGCCGATGGCAGCTCGTCCTTGAAACCTGTGTTGGGTGCGTGTTAGGGTGTGGGGATGGGGCAAAAATAGGAGGTTTGGGGGGAAGACGGGGGTTGTCCTTCAGGCGCGCTCAAGCGTCGATGACTTGCGTGCCAACTCCCACGTTGCTGGTGTGAATTGGCTCTAGAGACGGCCATGCGGCACGGCTCAAAGGGGCAGGAACAGCCTGCACTCTGGGGCGCGCGGCGCTCCTGCGCGGCAGCTCTGCAACATTATCGCCCGCAGCCCACGCGCGCCCTGCGTGGCTCACAAAAACAGCAGTGGCAGTGCTTAGGGATACACGCAAGAACTTCCACGCACGCACGCACGCACGTTCACGGGCATGCACACGCACACATGCGCGCGCACGCACACACACACACACACACACGCACACACACACACGCACACACCATGTCTCAATTCAGCTGCTGGCGCCCTCTCGAGGCCCACCTATCCGAGTGATGATCTCACAGACGCGGTCTATGGTCGGCTGGTCCACACCCAGGGGCGGCAGCAGCGCCTGCGCTGCGAAATGTCGTGGTGCGGCCGCCGGTCCAGGGCTCACAAGTCACCAGGGGACGCACGGTGCGCACAGAGTGGCAAGCAGCCGCCAGGCTTGCTTGCATGCTGCAAAGGCCTTGCCGCTGCGCCCGTTGCCCACAGATGATCCTCATCACATGACCGACCATCTGCCCGCCATGGGCATGACAAGCTAGGACGCAATTGTGATCGCACCTGGACCTCTGCGCACGCCAGTGCATGGGTGTCCGCCCCGGGCTCCGCATATTTCCAGTCGCTGACGTCATGCAGCAGCGCCCCCAGCTCCACGGCAAAGACCTGGGCCTCCGAAAGCTGCGGGGCCGGGCGGCACAGGGGTTGCGACGGCGACAGGCAGCGGAGTGCAATGCTCAGAGCCGTCGGCCGGCCTGCGGACTGAAATCTGCTGCATGCCTCCTGAAACGAAGCTGCCCATTTCATGAAGCCCTCCAGCAAGCAGACACTCCGTTAAGCAGGTGACTGGGCTGCTGAAGCAGGACCTGAAAACCCAGGGGCACAACCAGACCTGCTCATCCTGGGCGATGCGAAGTGCCAGTGCGCGAACGCGCGCAATATGCGCCCAGTCGTGAGACGCGTCGTTGCCCTCCAGCGCGTTCTTCACATGCTGTTCGATCTGCTGAATCACATTTTTGTGACTCATTGTCACTCTGGAGGGCTAGTGCGCCTGCTGTACTGCAGATCTCGTGTTCACAATCGCGAGATCCAAGTTACTTCTACAGGTTCCTGCAATGCTGACATTGAAAGCTGAAGAGGACAAGTTTCTGTTTCTTTTGCAGCAAACAACGTGACATAGCAAGACCAGGTCGTAAGGCAGCCGCTGGCACAGTGGCAATGCAGCGCTAAACGCCTCCCTTGGTGCCAACTGCCAGGTCTATCATCGTCAGTTAGGCGTCCGCATACTGGACAGAATACGTGGTATAATTACGGTAGCTTGCATCTGCTTGGAGTGTATTGGACAGACAGCCTTGCATCGCCTGCGTTTCTGGTCGCCAATGTACAAATCCAGACGTCAACAGGCTGGCAAGGCAGGACTACATTTCGCCTGCGCAACACGGCATGCACACAAGCCCAGAGTTCCACTGGTAATTTTACCCCCTATCCTTCCCCCCTGCTGACCAGTAGGCGGGGCGGCTGACCAAATCTCGCGTAATGTTGATGATGTTGTGATCCGTAGAAACAAGTGGTACGCAAGCAGAATGCACAATTTCAGGCTTAATCCTGCAATTTTGTGCATTTTGTCGCTGTGCTGGCGGCACGCCGCAGTGCGCTGGCAGCAGCGCAGATCCAGCTCGGGCTGCTGGCAGTCCGCTTCCAAGCCAGATGCATGGCAGTGCGAGGTAGATCCCAACGGCGACACACAAGTCTGCAAAGTAAATTTGACACATCTTGCCATCTTTGGCTGTGTTCCAGGAGGCAAGGTGACGTACCTGAAAAACCCGTGCCTTGGCGGCTTTAGCTCTGCACGCCCAGGAACAGCGCGATCACGCGGAGCGTAGATGACGATGCGATCTATCAATCAAATATATAGAAAAACTTTCTATCAAATAAATCAACCAGCAACACGGGATCCAACTGCTTTGCCGTACTACGGGTTGTTTTCAGTTCTGAACAGCTTCAATGACGCTGCCACCCAAGGAATTGATCGACATTGAGCGGGATCGCCGTGGCGGCAAGACGCCCTCGGACGAGGGCGGTGCGGCGCCCACACAGGAGCGCCGCAACCGTGTGCTGGCCGCATGCGCGTGCATCCTGGGCAATGAGACCGCCGAGAGGTTGGCATACTGTGAGTTTTGGCTGGATTTTTAGACCAAGCGCACCCATGTTTTGCCGCCGTTGCAGCTGAGGTGTGTGTGCCCCTTGCAACAACAAGCGTAGTGGCATGCTGCTTTGGCTTGTGGTACAAGGCTGGGTCAGCTCCTGAGCTGAGTATGCTCACCCCTGTTCGAGTGCTCGAATAAATAGGCTTGTGCATCCTCATCCACTTTGCTGACAAAATCCTTGGCAAACTGGCGTCGCCTTTCCCATGCCAATCAACCCCTTGAGACCCCGGCTCCGACCTTGCCCTACGGCACCCTTTGAGCACACCAGGCATCTCTCCTTGCATCACCCACGTTGCCCCGCACGGGTCGTTGCACCTCTTGCCTCTCCAAGCTCTTCACAGCCTCCATAACCATTTCCCACCAACGCCCAGCGCACGCCCTCTGCAAACGGTTCCCATCGTCACACGCTTCCCCAATCCAACCCCGCGCGTCAAACCCACAGACGGCCTGGCAACCAACCTGTCGCTGTACGCAAAGCAGTACCTCGGTTACCCCGCGTCTCAGGCGACGTCCCTGCTGCAGGCCTGGAAGGCGTCCGTGTACCTGACGCCCCTGCTGGGCGCGTTCCTCGCTGATGCATACCTCGGCAGGCGCGTGCACTGTCAGGGCGGCGCCGTGCGCTCGCCGCCGGTTGGCACACTGGATTGGCTGGATTGTGGTCGTCAGATTTGTCTTGCGCGGGCATACATGCGCTTGTGGCAACCTGGAGCGCCGGTCAATTGCTGCCCCCTCAACACAAATGATGTGCCTCTCCCACAATCCTGAATTCTAAAGACCATCCACACAAACACGGCCCCCGTTCTCACCTTCTCAAACCTGCATCCGCGACAAACCCAGGTTCTGGGTAATCCTGCTGTTCTCATCATTCTACCTGACAGGCCTGGCTGGCACCACCGCGGTCAATGCGGTCCCATCCCTCGCGCCCCGCTTCCACCAGCCGCCGGCTTCGGGGTCGTTTGGGCAGACGCGGTCGATGTTTTGGGCCTTCATGTACCTCATCGCGCTTGGTGGGCAGCGAAGCGTTTGTGACTTGGGGGAACAAGAGAGGATAAGGGACATTTGGAAGTAGGAGGGGCGCAGGGGTTTAGATAGGGAGTGATGTTGGCTACCGCACTGCAGTGCGATTGAGGGGCGTGTGGGCGGGCTCGGTGAAAGAGAATATTCCTTGCTGGTACTAATTATCAGTCAAGGGCTGGGAAGGGAAGGGAAACCGCAGCTGGCACTTGCAGCACAGTTGCCTGGCACTGCTTGCCTCACCCCTCCCATACGCTGCATCACCAGGAACATCGCAACACTTAAATGCACACGCGCATGCGAACCAACCCTGATGGCTGCTTGTAGGCTCCGGCGGCATCAAGGCGTGTGTGTCCTCATTTGGTGGGGACCAGTTCCGTGAGGACTGCGCAAGAGAGCGGCGCTGGCGCTCCAGCTTCTTCAATTGGTGCGCCAGCAGGAATACGTCTACAATTTGACCTTGAGATCAGGCAATGCATGTGTATGGGTGACAGCGAGACCTGTGCTGCTTGAGCTGTCTCTGCTGACCCTGTCAAACGTGCACGCAACTAAGTCAATTGTGAGATCCAACGCCCTGCCTTTTTTCTTTCTACCACCTCATCAAAACCTCCACGCGACAGGTTTTATTTCTCTGTCAACGTGGGGTCGCTGGTGGCGACGCTTGTGGTGGTGCCTGTACAGGAAGCCAAGGGGTAAGCGCACAAGTATTGTCACAGGTTGCAACGTGTCAAACGCACCTTGTGTCATTTGATAAACGCTGTGCAAACCTGCGCACCAAGCTCCCCAACAGCCCTGCTCTAAAGACAGTCTGCAGGCAGCCTTTGACTCGAATCCCTTTGAACCTGTATGCTGCTGCGCTGAACCCCCTCATGGCAGCTACGCCATCGGGTTTGGCATACCTACCGCCCTCATGGGCTGCGCCATTATCATCTTCTTGCTGGGCGCGTTTGCCAAGCTGTACACGTACGTACCGCCCGAGGGGTCGCCTCTGTACCGCATCTACCAGGTGTGTTTCTGCAATGCAGCGGAGTGCGCACCCGTTGTCAACCTGGTGACCCGCGCTCAGTGCAGCGCGCGTGGACCCAGCAGCACACACTTTGCTGTGGGTGGTCATGATGCATTAATCCCGCTGTCTGGATGGATTGGGCATTTCTGGCTGCGCTGTGCTTCCATCCACCATCTGCTAGCCGTGCTGTGTGTGCTGTGTCCTGTGTGAAACAGCCAGCCCTCCTTCCCCACTTTTTTGTCTTCACTCTGTGGCAGGTCCTGGCAGGTGCCTGGCGGCAGAGGCGCCAGCCCGTTCCTGCAGACGCCTCAGAGCTCTTTGGTGCGTGCCCGCATGGCAAGCGCCTTTGATACACCATCCACCACCATCGCCCAGCAGCACGGTGCTTGTGGCTTGGAAAAGTGTGGATCATGAGGACAACACAGCTGATGTCGTACAAACAATGTTGTATGGCCTCTACTGTACACCATTTTTGCAGAGCCGGCGGCTGGCGAGGGCAGTGTGAAGTTCACAATGGCGTACACTGACCGCATGCGGGGCCTGGACAAGGCTGCCCTGCCACATGGGCGGGCGGGGGTGCACCAGGTAAGGGGCGCGCCGCCGCCGCAGGAGCAGCAGCAGCAGCAGCAGAAGTAGCAGTATGCTGCAGACGAGTGCCTGCAATGCACGCATGCTTTGGATACTCAGCCTGCTTGTCTTGCCATAATGCACAGGTGCATCAAAGGGGCGGCTTGAGTTTGGCAATGCCAACGTGGCTGATGTCACGGAACCTGAAACCAATGAAACCCACCGCGTCATGCCTCCATCCAGGTGTCGCGCACCGAGGTTGAGGAGACCAAGGCTCTCCTGGGCATCATGCCGGTGTTCCTGGTGGTGTGCATATGGCAGGTGGGTGCCGAGGGCCACATTAATTGGCTGTGCCGTATCTATGTCATGGGGCGCTGTAGTACAGGCTGCAGCTGGAAACACAGGGCAAGACTACTGAAGATTGGGGAGATGCTCACTGGGTTTTACTGTCAGTTATCAAAGCTAAGTTTGGGCTGAGAGGCGCAACAGCAGTTGAAAATGCATCGCCATAGTTGGTGTGTTGCAAGTATTTAGAATCTTAGACCTCTGGTTTGAACAGCATCAGGCATGCAACATGTATTGATCTCCTGAGCCTGGCAGCAGCTGTCAAGTTGAGACAGATAATGCCCGGCGCGAACATGCGGATCTGCACTGACAACCAGAGCTTGACGCAATTCCACGTGCATCGCAGATGGCATACGACCCGATCTTCACGCTCTTGCCACTGTCTGGTGAGGCGCAACTGACGCTGACACCGCGTATGAGGTTCCACCGCGTGTCCCAAACCCCCATCCCGCACACCCCGCGCATGCAGTCCGTGGTGCACCTCATGCTGCGAGCCGCTCACTTGCCTGCACCCTGGATACTTGACACATCGGCCAGGGTTCCGCATCTCAAGCACGCGGATCATGTCTTATGTCCAAAACCCCGATAACAGAGCTCTGATCTCCAACCCGCTGCAGGTGATGTCATGGACCGTTCCATGGGCCACAGCTTCAAGATCCCCGCGTCCTCCATATCATTTGCCAACACTTTTGGCGTCATGATCTCTGTGGCTGTCTACGACATCTTTGTGGTGCCCATCGCCGCCAAGATGGGCCGGTGAGGAAGAGCCCTTTCAGGAAAAGGCCACCTTTTGCGGTCAAATGAAGTGTCGGACAATCTGCAGGGCGTGGCTCTGCGGTTTTGGTGGTTGTCATTGCGCGTCTGCAAAGTGCAATTCCGCTAGCGCTTGCTTCCCAGAGGCACTGCAAACCTTGGCATCTCAAACAGGCCGATCAGCACCATGTCGCGCATTGGAGCCGGGTTCATCGTGGCAATGATTGCAGTGCTGTCAGGTGAGCAGCCACATATGGGCGCAGCATGAGGGCAGGGTACACGCATCCAGTGCGCATATCTTGTGGCCGCCCTCAGCTTGATCAACACGATCTGCTCTGTCCTTGGTTCTGTTATTGGACAGCATTCATCGCTCTGAGACGACTTTACCACTCGCTTTCCTGCCTGCGAATCCTGTTTTGATACACGCAGCTGGCTTCATAGAATTGGCGCGTTACCGCGCGATCCGCCACTCCGGCCTGGTGGCCAAGTGGGAGGCAGCGTCGGCAGCCAACCCCAAGGTGGACTACACCGATGCAGAGTTTGTGCAGCCTATGAGCATTTGGTGAGTGCAGGCTCTTGAGCACTGGCTGTTCGAACCCAAATTTGGGTATACCTAAACCCAACATCCAAAACCCTTGCAGTGGCCACGGTTGCCGTGACTAGTCCCTACAACTCAGTTTTGCATGGCGTGTGTGGCTGCAAGTCGCCCATCCACCGCTTCTCTAAGCTGATAACCCCAAGCAAAAGGACAGCAAGTGTTTTCATGTCGATCCGCCGCTTGCAATGCCGGCCGACTCTCCAACACCAACCAACAACTGCCAGGTGGCAGGCTGTCCCTTACTTTGTGATGGGAGCAGCTGAGACGCTCACCAACGTTGGTGAGCGGTGATCTGGGTTGGTGGCGCCCCGCCAGCCAGTCATGCCTGCTCTTTCTGTGTGATGTGTGCCACTCAGTTATGTGGTATTCGATGACTTCAATCTGACTTTAGGCATTCCAAGAGCCACCATCCTGCCGCCACCCTCATCATTGACTGAGCACAGCACTAACGCCGTGCGCCATCACCACACCCGTGCTCAAATCTCCTTAACAAAGGCGTGATGGAGCTGTTCTTCAACGAGGTGTCTGAGGGCACCAGGGCGCTGGGCTCCAGCATCAACCTACTCACCACCGCCATAGGCACATACCTGGCCGGCGCACTAAACATCGGTGAGTGCGCGTATCGCACTGCTGCGCTGTCACTGTCTTGGTGTGTGTGTGTGCGTGCGTGTGTGTGTGTATGTGTGTGTGTGTGTGGTATTGGGCTGCACACGTCTGTGCACTTGTGTGCGTGTACGTCTGGATGGCAGCAGCGATGCCTTTGCCTGCATATGAATCACCCGCTGGCTGCATAACCCACACACGGACCCCTGCAGCCATTGCTGGTGCGACAACCGCCGACCCCTGGGTGGCTGACAACCCCATGTACGGCCACTACGACCTGTGAGCACCACGTCATGGGATGGGCTATACAGCACGCGACTTCAAATTAGTTTTGTTGCGTTACTGATGCAAACATGCGATCACCAAGAAGCGCAGCAGGGACGGCGGGGTGGTGGCGGTTCGAGCAGAGGCTCACGGTCGGCGCCAGTCGTCGGTGCAGTGGACACCCCAAGGGGGTGGCGCTCTTTTCGTGTGTCTGGAAGCACAACTCAAAGGCGCTCCTGCGTCAGCGCCTAATTTCCCAGCTGCCCCTCTCTGTGGGGCGCGTACAGGCCGCGTGCCCATCCACAACTCCGCCTCTTCTGGCGGCTCGGCGCCCCCTCGTTTGACTTGCGACCCACCCTTGCTGCCTGTCTGCAACCGCCTCGCCTCACGTTAACCCCTGCCCCCACCAACCCAGGACAACCCACCGGTGCCATCTCCACAGCACCTGGAAACCCCAGCACTTAGCAACCGATGCAGAAACATGAAATATTGTGGGTTTGGCAACCACATACAACAACGTAATCCCTCAACCCAACCCCAGGTACTACTTTGTCAACGCGGGCATCCTGGTGGTGGGGTATGCGGCCTTCCTGCTGGTGGCCCGCAACTACAAGGAGAAGCCAGTGGTGCCGCACCACCTGCTGCACGGCGGCAAGGTGGGAGCGACTTACTGGTTGTCTGCAGGTGTCGTTGTTCATGTGTGAGGATGTATGGGGGTGTGCGTGTGCATGTGTGTGTGCGTGTGCGTGTCACAACTTGCTTGTCACAACAAACGCGAGCAGCTTTGAGCCTCCAGAACACATCGCATCACCCCGAGTCCGCCACCACCTTATCGCCCTCACCTGGTTTGCCCCATCACAGGCCAGCGCCGCCATCGCCACGGCCACCGGCGGGCGGCACGACGACGACGCCGGCCCCGCCTCCCCCGCCGGCTGGCGCAGCGCCGCAGGGCTGCGCTCCCGCTGGCCGCGCATGCCCGGGTCTCCGGGCGGCTCCAGCGGCAGCCCGAGGGACGGGGCGTCGCGGTCGCCGCTGGAGGGGCTCTCGCCCAGGGCACAGGACGCGCTGTGAGGCGCACAGGAGCGAGTTTTTATGCCTCGCCGCCGGCCGTCCGCGCGGCTGCGGGCTGGCGTCGTCCTTTGTGGCGCCGCGCCCCGGTGACCGTCGCTTGCCCAGGGGGCACCACCACATCCTGTCGGCATTTTTCTCATCGGCTGGCTGCACTTCATTTTACGACGAACTGCTGCCATCATATCGGACTCTATTTCTGAGCCAGTGCTGCTTTTGAATTATTGCGTTCCCTTCAGCTTTGAATACCTCTCTTGGCACCTGCCCAGCATGCTGACAAGCACTGCTGCTGTATCATGACGCAGCCAATCAGCGCTGTTATATCAACATGCAGAGCTCTGCCCGCCCACTCCTGGCGGATATCTTGTAATGCCCCGCTTGCCCCCAATGTGATACGAACCCACACCGAATGTGGCAGCAGCAGCTGCAGAAGGTCAAAAGCATGCCTTGACACCGCAGTCAACGACCGTGACTTCACACTTCAAACATGGATGGTCACAGCACGAGGGTGAATATGTCCGGAGAGACTGCAAAATACAGGCAAGAACCATACGGTACGTGCCAAGTGGCAAAAAAGGGCTTGCCTGGCCGCCAGACGCCCCGCTGCCGAACACGGTTGCCACACTGGTGCGGCACGTCTGCATTCAACATTTCAGGACTACACACGTCACAGGCCACCAGGTACACCAGATCCACACTATTAGGCAACTTGCTGCCGGGGCCGATGACAAGCATGGAATGCACCTACAAGTCAAGCGCCTCCCGCCGCAGCTGCAGCTGCAGCTGCGGCCG